GGAATATGTGGCACAATATTTGCCGTTGACACCTTATAAAAATGGTGGTTTTGTGCAAATTTCATGTTTATGACAGCACACGGATACGCCGGATATGTTGGGATGTGGGAGTCCCTGACATTGACGCATACTAATGACACTTTTGCTTCGAGTCTCGAGCCAAAAACTTAAAGCCCCATTTGCAGCAGACTCCGGCAATTTTGCATTAAGCGTTCGCTTAATCGTGACAAAGTCTCTTCTGCTTCTGCTTCAGTTACTCATATACATATATATTATATTTACGTGGCAACTCCTGGTGCACATAAGCTTATAGATTTATTTTGCATTAACATGCCAAATTGTTTTTAAATGAGTTTCTAATGAGCCAACAATTGCCGTCGTTGTGTCGTCTGTGTAGCAACACAACAATTCTGATTTCGGATTTCAGATTTCAGATTTCAGACTTCAGACTTCGGGCACTCGATCCGGGACTCTCCAGGCGGGGAATCCTCCGCCTTTTTTGGCTGGCACTCGCACACTTCACGTGATGAATGAATGTTTTTTTCGGCAGAAGTTTGTTGCCGCTGTTTGCCTTACAAATGGGTTATGCACATGGGCCAAAAACCCAGTGAGAGTAGACTAAAACCAGTTCCCCGTTCAAGGACGAAGTTTGTTGGCCTTGGCAGCACTTAAAGTGTGAGTGTGCGAGTGTATCTGTGTGTGAAAGACGAGACAAATGAGTGGGTGATAAGTGAACGGAGCAGTTTGCTCAGAGACGGCAAATGACTTTGTCGAACTCCGGCTGGTGTTAGCGGGCCATAATTTGGGTGAAAGTGTGTTTATAATGGATCCGAGGCGTGCTTGCCAAGTATCAATGGATAACGCTAATAGATTCGACACCTACTCAACTTTTAATCTTTGCCCTCAAAAGTCAAAGTCGTTGACTATGCCTGCGATGACTGAATCACATCAAATTTTGTGGAGCTTAGCTGCAAACATTTTAAATAGGTAATCCTGGGATTTTGAGTTCTCATAAATAGCGAAATTAGTTTTGTAAGTGATTAAAGAGTTTGCGTTTTAATGGCTTTGAAAGTCTTAAATTCAACATCATTTAAAGTTTTTTCTTCAATTTTCAGTTGCCCTAAAAAGTATGCTTTAAAAAGAAAAAAACGTTTTAATTATTTAATATTTACGATATTTAAAAACATTTTCACAGTAATGTTTCTTTATAAATTCATAAATATATATTTTTTTATAATTCGAATAATTTTTCTATTTTTTATCACGTTTGTTGTTAATCTAGCAATAAATATAAAGTTTTTTATTTATGAGCTATTTCTTTGGAAAATACTCGCTAAGCATCCACGAATTTTTGTTTTTATTGGTGCAGCGCTTAAAATCTGAACTTGGCCAAGAGTGATTTTAAATGACTTTTTGTGAATTAACGAGGCAAACTTTTAAAATTAATCGCTCAGTTAATCTTGATTGTTTTTCCTATCGTTATCAGCTTTATGTTTCCCATTTTCTAGCTTGGAAAAACCGAATTTCCACACAGATTGCCAAGTAATCTGCATTGGATTCCGATCCGTGACTTCTGGCTTTAGCCACGCCCCAAAACAACAGATTAAAGACCGACAAAGCTTGTTCGCTTCACGCCCTCGGAAATTCTCCATGTTCTCATCCGTTTTTTTGGGGGTGGTGGTTAAGGGGGAGGAGGGGTTGGAGTGGGTGGCCTTTGGCCATTTCCTTTTGACACATATTTCTAAAGCCCCAGTCATTTAGGGGGCTTTGTGGTGGCTGCAACCTGGCAAGTCATTAGACGACAGTTTACAACGAGTGGGTGCAAAATGCTGCTGCTGTTGGGTGGTTGGTGTTAGCCGAAAAATGCTAATGACTTTATTTTTCTTAACTTTGATGCTGATGACGCCCGGTGCCACAATGTGCATTTTAATGTCGTGCCAAAGGATCCCTCGACCTGACCCTTCCCCCTTTGTCCCTCAATGGCATTCGGTTGCAACTGGCTGACATGACGGGCCATCATCATCATCATCATCATCTTTATGGCAATCAGCAGGAGGAGAAGGAGGAGAACGATGAGATGGAAGAAAGGCCAATGGAGTAACCTTTGGTTAGCCAGGACTACGTGGTTGCCCAGATCCTTGATGGCAAAACTTTTCCAATTGTCGGACCAACCGACTGTAATCCCCGACGTCAGAGGGAATTTTCGAAGGGCATTCATTATTAGTTTCTGCAATTTGAGTAATTGACCAAAACTGTGACCAGGAGCCGCTGAAAATGTCCTGCTGCTTGTGGACTCATAAATCCCCCTCCGTTCGGATCGATTTATAATTTATGCCGCTGGAAATCAACGCTTTGCGGTTTCAATTCCCCCTCTTCATTTGATCCCCCCGCCTTCCCTCAAAATCCATCTGTCCGAAATGCCGAGTGCATAAATCAAATTATTTCATACATATTTAATCGTGTAAATTAAAATGCATTTGATTTGCGAGTGCCTAGATGTCCTGGCTTTAATTGTATAATTTATTCCTGACTCTGTGACAGAAAGAGAGAGAGAGAGAGTGAGAGGGATGGGCAGATTGAAAAGGGCGAGCACATTAAAGCCATATCTTTATCGATATCTTTTTGGTTTTTAGTAGGTTTGGCTGTTTAGGTTGTTAGTTGTGTTGCGCAATATGCAGATACATTTATATGGCAATATATATAATATATATACGTATAGATATAGATACAAAGAAAACACCGATTTGGAATTTTTAGTTTATCTTTCACTTTTTAAATGCACTTCGTTTAAACAACATGCAAGACACGACTTTAGTTGTTTGTTGCTTTGTTTTTTTTTTTTTTTGGTTGCGTTTTAAGTTGCGGCTTTTGCCTTTTACTCGGATATGTATAATCAGAGAACGCTTTATGACATGTACCCAGCAAAAATATATGGTAAATATACGTATATCGAACATAATCCGTAAAGAATACAAGTACACTATCTCGCACTGCAACAACAGACAATCACACACGCACAACGATGGGAATTTAAATGCAAGTAAAACATAATTGGAATTCGAATCGGAATCATTTGGGAGGTGGAGTGGATTGGGTGGGTGGCCAACAGTAATAGTCTTGTAAATCATTTTGTCAATCGATTAATGCACTTAATGGAGCAGACTAATTTGGGTCGAAGGTTGTTCATCTCTTCACAAAAGGAAAGGGGAACGGAGCTACGCAAAACGAACAAACATTTATGATTTACCGAATGGGTTCACCTAAATACTCGCTATTTATTCTAGCCTACAGTTGGTTGTCAACTAAATATTCCATTTAAAATCGACTCGCAAACTAAGCGCTTACATCAATTAAACTAAATGGGTTCGGGTTCCCCTGGCACTTGAATGTGATTACCCATTCTGCCGGTTGAAGGACACGGTTTTTAATAGGGGGATTACATTGGGTTATCATATGTGGCAACTGTGACCATCGGACATTGCAAAGCGAATTTAATTTCCCGACTAAGCACATTTATTCACACGGCAAGCCGCATGTTTCCGGGGAATATAATATATAAAATGTTTCGCAATCAGAAAAAACATAAATGGATAAAAAAAAACCACCATAATTATTATAATAAAATCGAAAATATGTATGAATATGTTTGTCCATGTAAATCACACAAAGCCAAACATGACAAAACAAATCGAAATAAAAACACCTAAACACGTGGCTTTTTAACAACAAAAAAGAAATATTTCCATAAAAAACAATCATTTGAAAATATTGCCTTGTTGCTTAAAGTTGGCATAACCAATTTTTTGATCGAAACGACAATTAGTTGAGTTCAAAGTTTGTTAGGCAGGAAAAAAGGCGTGATTTTTTGTAGCGAATTGAAAATTGACGGGCAATCATAAATCTCCCTGGGGGCAAATGAAAACACTCGACAGTGGGAGGTACTATTAATTTTTTTGAAAAGGGTTTTTACCCAGCCCGTGTCTGCAGCTCGATGGTTTTCGCTTTATGGTTTTCGGGTCGAGAGTGACCGGGAAAAATTGCAACTGGAATTTTCAGGTGAGTCGGCGGGGCACAAGCAAAGCGTTGGAAAAATGGCTGTCGTTTCAGAAATATAAATTTTATTTATGTCCATTCGGGTCCTTTGTTTTGATTTATTTGTTTATGTTTATGGTATGCCCGGCAATTTCTGCCAATTTAGCAATGCCATTTCGGGCGTCCCTTGTCCAGAAGAAGGCAACATCCCCTCCATCACGTCCGTTTCGAGTGAAATTTGTGTAAATCAAAAGTTTCTGTTGGCAGACGATGAGATTAGCCAAACACAAAATAAAAGGTTCGCATCTCAAAGGATGGAGAAAAAAGATCCACAGCCAATATAATAATATCACATTTAATGCCAGGAAGCTCTGCTAAACCATCATCAAAGCATTCTCATTCTCAGTTATTTATAAACATTAATTCGTTTTTAATTGGATTTAATTTGTGCTGTTTTTGCATTTGCTATACTATATGTTTTTAACGGTCTTTTAATTGAAATGTGTTTAAACGGTATCCAACAGACGCCATTTGCTTGCGAAACAAAATGTCAAAAGAACAAACAAACAGAAAATTATTCTGGCACTCTCACACAAGCACACACACACACACGTATGCACACTCGTACCCACACACACAGACATATTGAGACAACACATATGCAAACGCAAATATGTATTTATTTATTGATAAAGAAGCCCCCGTGGGGCAATAATTATTGAATGCCAAAAACAAATTCAGAGAAAAAGAAACGAAACAAATACTGGTGTTTTTCATTTTTGTTTATTTGGTGGTGAAACAAGTTATTCAAAAATTTGTCGCTTTTCACCTGGCAAAACGGAAACCTCAAAAGAAACGCAAAATCACAATCGGTCAAAAACGGAAAAATGAAAACAAAAATACGTAAAAGTAAGCCTAAAAAATAGTTGTGATGGTGACACAAAGAACGACGGGTACATGTCACTTACCAAATTTAACCACGCATTTGTGGTCAGAATCTGATTCTTTTCATCCTATAAGAGACGCAATCAATAATTGTTAATTTTTAGCCTGTTCACACGTTAGCTTAAAATGCATCGACAATTGAATTCGATTTGTGTGATTCGGAAGATATTAATCCGACAGCTGAATGCTGAACGCTTCTGAATGTTCTCTCAATATTTTTTCTTGCTTATCTTTTTGATGCTTTTTTTGTTGGAAATTTGTTAGCTGGAGCGAAGGGATATATGCAGATCCTCTGCGACCACTTACCACGTCGATGATCTGCTGCAGTGTCAGTCCGAATTTGACCTCCAGGGGCTCCGATTCATTGGCCACGGGTCGTTCCAGTGTGTTGTATGTGGAGAGCAGGTGGTTCAGCAGGCGCTTTTCATGGGGTCCTTGACAGCTTTCTGCAAAAGCGAAAACAACAATCGAGTGAGAAAAGGGATGAGAAATAAATCAATAACAGTGGCGGGGCGAACGTGTTGCAATTAAGTGCGGGATCATATTCGCCACTGATTTATGGCACTTTCTGCCAAATTAAACTAATAACCGGGCTCACTTATTGGCAGTCGTGGCGGAGCGGCTCATTACGGCAAAAGCCATTATAAAAATGGCATGTGCCCTGGCAGCCTGATGAGTTTCTGGCCACCGCCTAATTGGTCCGAATCATTTCGGAACTCTAAATGGAACGAATTTTCGCTTTCGTCCCAGGGTCGACTGGAATGGATATAATGTGCCAATAAAAGCTACCAAATTGGAGTAGTTAATATTCTTGTTTTCTCTTGAGCTCTTAGTTCTTAATTCTTAAAGGTCCATGACATTCTCATTAAAATAATTATTAAATATTAAAGAAAATGGGAGTCTCTATTAGACAGAGAAAAATGTTTTTCAGACAGAATCATTTCAGTAGTTTCAATTAATTCCCGACATAAATTGCTTTACATTTGATAAGATTTTATCGAAAGTATTAAATTTAAGCTTTCACTTAACTTTTTCCGGTAAAATTAAATTTCTTTCACCAATACACAAAATATAACTTACACATGAAAGCTTGTCAGTAAAAAAGGATTTTTGACAGAATACCGACAAATAACCTTAAATGCTAATTCCCAACGATTTGTAGCATGTTATTCAATACAAGCATCTTTTTTCCACTTCTGTTAAACTGCTCAATACATAAAACAATCAATATATTAAATAAACCATAAATTAAGGACCATAATCCTTATTGAAGTCCGGCAACACGACCAATCTCCCACTCAACTACGGCTGCTTGTCAGTGAAGTAATGCACATTAAACCGAAGCGTTTAAGGTAGAGTGAGCTAAGTCCTCGTATTATATTTCCATTGTAGTGCTCTTACTTAGTTGCCTCGGTGGCCCCCCTGGAAAATGGCTTTGGCTCCCACACAATTTGGCCAGAATGCTCTGGTTTTGGGACTGGCCTAGGTGGCGGCCATAAAATGTCATTAAGTGCCACTGTGTAGGGACGACTCCTCTGCTCCTCTCCTAAGGACGAAGGATGTACGACGATGGAACCGGGTCGCAGTGGAAGTGTCCCAGGTACATTGTGTTAAAACAAACCGTAAAATGGGCAATGGCAAATATTTGAGATGAGCGCAAAAAGTTTGGGGAATTTACTAGAAGTGAATAGAACAGAACTGAAGAGAAGAGAAGTCTCGCCTGTCGGATAAACCGGCTTTTTGTGTCCCAGGAGCGCTGATAAATTGACAACTCAATTGTGAAAACTATTTGCACGCCATTAGGCGAGAAGACGGCAACAAGAGGTGTGGCCATTTGGGCCGGGGGACAACAAATATTGACAGGCCAGCCGCAAAATTTGAGCCCAACAGTGTGTCAACTCATTCATGAATGCATTGCCTCTGCTCGGTTCTCCCGGTGGTTTCTGATTTTCTGGCCCCAGTCCAAGCTACAAGCTGCTCCTGCTCCTCGCAATCGAGTCCATGACGGAATTGCGTTTAAATTATGCAACTGGGACGGGAGCAGGAGCAGAATCCGCATTCGAATCTGAATCAGAATCGGAACCAAAAGCAGGAGCAGGAGGAAAAGCAGCCCATGAATTTGGCATGGACGAGCGACCACTTGGAACTGACCGCCAACCACTGGCGAACTGACCAACTGGCAAACTGACGAACTGACCAAACCCACAGGCTGTCAAGGTGAGCGATTGTGTTTATTACATGGGCATTAATATGCAGGACCTTGCAGGTCACCAGGTGACCGAAAATGCGAATTGACGTGCCGTTATGGAATGCCATCATGTGGTGTAGCACCCAAGGACTCGGCCCAGCGTGTCCTTTGTCCTTTATCCTGCTGACAAGTGACACTAATAAGCAACTAAGTTGCTAACAGAGTGCACTTCACACTCAAATGCCGAAATCCGACCCAAATGGTCGCCAAAAAAAGAAAAAGTATGAAACTTTATTTAGAACTAGAAAAACAATCAGTTAAAATATCAAAAAATAAATACAAAATTACTTTGATGTTGTTCAGGCTTTATTGCATTTTGCTCGACATTTGTTGACTGTAAGGGTAAATAAACTTCGGCTCCCCAAAGCTAGCTTCCTTTCTGGTTTTTAATGTTTTTGGATATAAATAATTTATATAAACATTTTTAATTTTTTTGCTTCTTTTTATTAATATATGATAGATGAGTGTCGACAAAATAAAAATGTTGCGATTAGTTTCATTAAAATTTTCTGACCAACTGTAATTTAAATGTAAATGTTATTTTAAAATAATTGTTCCCAATATGTTTGAATTGCTATAAGTTTTCAATCACAACTCATAATTTTTACCCTAAAACAACACATTCCTTTGCCGACTATTCTGCTTTTAGCAGAGAATTTTAGGTTCCTTCTCATACATTTGTAAATAGTTATTCCATTTGCATTGAACAAAATATGAAAGAATTTTATAGAGTATATCTTATTCAAAGCAATGTATTGATCTGCGGTCGCCAAACATTGGAAATCGTGTTGTTTAAGAACTTTAAGACCAATGCATCGGCGCAATCAGGCATAATTGAAACCGAAATTCGATTTAATTGAATGAAGCATGAGCCGAAGGAAGTGTTCCTTGAAGGATGCCAGAATTAGGCTGCCACAGTGTGCATGCATCTTGGGGCATATAGAATGTGTTTGCAGCAGTGTGTAGATGTATAGGTGTGTGTGCGTGTGGCTGTTTTGCTGTGTGGGTGAGTTACTGGCAACTTATTTGTGCGGTGTGTGTTGACCCAGTTTCCCTAGCTCGCTGGCTCTCGGGCCTGATCAATTTGGCCTTGAGCGTCGGTTGCAACTTCTCCAGCTGCAGTTGTCCTTGCACTAAGTTGACATTTGATTTCTCTGGCCACCATTGTTGCCACTTCCCCAGCTTTTCCCTCTACTACTAGTGCCACTGCCACTGCCTTTGTCTCAGGGGTCGTCGTTTGCATGATTTAAAACTATTTAACTTGGTTTCGTCGAGGGTGGCTTCTTTTGTTTTGCGACAATTTGGTTTGTTCGCAATTGGCACCTTGAATGCTAAGTGTTTTTTTTTTTTTTTTTTTTTTTTTTTTTTTTTTTTGCCCCTCTGTTCCGTTGTGAGCGCTTTCAGTTGTTTTTAAAAAATTTACGAGCATGTACTTTAACCTTGGTGCAAAATGGGGGTTTGCATTCGCAAAAGGAGGAAGGGAAATGCATTCCTTCTGCAATTGTGTGGGATGGTTTTGGTAAATTGTTAATTACTATTGTGATGCATTGTGTGCGCCATTTCCCAGTTGGGACTGGCGAGAATTCCTTGTGCGCTGCGCAACTGCGGCAAACGTGGCGTATACGTGATTTCTGTGGTTAATTCAACATCAAGTGTAGCAGTTGCGTACTGAGATTGCTTTTTGCGGACAGCGTGAACCAAAAATGAACTCGTTGCGGAAGCAGACTTTTGACGAGGACAAAACAAAAATCAACATATTCAATGAAAAGTTGAGGGGAAAACTTGCGCAGATGCTTAGCAATTCAAATGGTGGGAAATACACAAATTGTTGTTCAAGTCAAGTTGTCTGCCTCTCATCGCCGCTTACCTAAGCAATGCAATTTATTAAACTAACTACTTAGGCATGCGAAAATAGGGCCCCGGCAAAAACACATAAAAATAATCTAACACACTCTCAAGGCAACTCAGGCACTCTCCTGCCAAGAAGTGAACGAGGGTCCAAAAGCGGAGAAAGTGTAGAGAGCGGAGGAAGTGGGGAAAGCGGAGAAAGCAGAAAAAGTGGGAAAAGGGGAAGTGGAAGGAAAGAGCCTCGCAGAAGTAGCAGCTGGAGAACTCAAGTGGCAACACACACTTCAAGGCCCGACTCGACTTGGCTGCCAAAGAGATACTTTCAACACACCGTTCGACAGCTTCAGCAGCAACAACAACAACAACAGCAACAGCAACAACAGCAACAACAACAACAACAACAACGGCTACGGAAACATCAGCCAAATCAGTCACAACAAAAGATGCACTAAGAGAAATAACCACCCACTTCGCTAGTGTAAATAAATAAATACCTTTTTATTCAAACGTTTATTGAATATTCAACAGAATAAATTCTTGTTTCTCGCTGAATCTACATTCTGTAGATTTATAGAGACCTGCTTACATATGGTTTGCATTTTAATAAAAACAATCACCATTTATTATTGTTTATTACCTGCGTTGACTAGCAACCAAAACACGATAGCTTTACACTAAAATAAACCTTTTTATATTTGTAAATGACTAACAATTGATAATATAAATACTAATTTAAATTTAAATGGTCTAAACCATTTAAAACATTAAATTTATATTCAGTATTATTGATCACATTTTGTCCCAATAATTTTTTTCCATGTTTTCCAACACTTCCTTTTCACTAGGTATTCCAAAAAATTACATAATCAATATGAGGACTTTTTTGGATACCTTTTTTGATTTCTCGCAGTGCATTTGGGTTTTTGCGACTTAATTGCAACGTGTGGGCCTCGCTCGGCCTTTGCATTATGCATGAACCGGCACACGGCTCGTTATTATCATTTTGGAGGCGTTGGATGTTGAATGTTGGATGCTGGATGCTGGATGCTTGTCGCTAATTGCAATTAAACAATAATGCAAGCAGCGGGGTGGAGAGCAGCTCCTTCGAAACGGGGGACTTCATACGAGTTTTGGAACAGAAATTCGCTTAGAAGAACGTGTGTAACTGGCTAGTAATTATGTCGCCTTGCCTCCTTTTTGACGGCAAAAGGCGATTAATTAAATGTTAATAGCCAGGCCAGCGGGATGGCAAAAACAACGGCAACAACAAAGGCAACAAAAGGCTGGCAATTAACGGTTCGCATTTTGCCTTCGCAGCCGTCTTTGTTTATATGTTTATTTGCATATCATTAAGCCGGGGAAAATAACTGAAAAGCGTTTTCTTCTTCAGGCGAAAGGGAGTGCATTATCAACATTGACATCCTGAATGGCTGCCAAGATGTTGAACTGACGTGCTGATTAATTGCCAGCTGAAATTGGCTCAAAACGAAGTTTGTCTAGGATAATGAGATCCCTTTTTTGTTGGGAAACCAAAAAAAACTCTTTTTCGGTGGATCAAATCAACGGAATTTCAATTGACCTGCCCTACTTTCTTTTTTTTTTCCAAGGGCCACTTAAGAGCTATAAAAAATCAACACCCTCCAAGCCCAATTTCATTACGCATAACATTTCGGCCAAGTTTGTTCTACTCACACACACAAACACACATACACATGCATATTAAGACCTATTTCCATTTAGCTCTCAATGACTTGGATGTGTTTTTCAATTTTTCGGGCATTTCCAGGACGAATCCAACTGGGAACAGTAGCCCACGATTCGCCCTCATATTAAATGCATATCGCAATGCGAATGTGTAAATTTCTGTGGGCCAGTTGGGTGGTTTTTGGGTGGTTTTTTTGGGTGGTTACAAGCTGGGTGGTTGGCCAGTTAGGCGGCAAAGGGCGCCGCATCGCCATGCAGCATGTTTGTGTCACGTTCGCGACTTCATTTGAAATTCATGCATAATAAGCAGTCAAGTACAGGCATCCACGAATGTGTGTGTTAGTATGGGTGAGTGTGTGTGTGTGTACACCCATTTCCCGGGGTTGTGCATCACGACTGGGTCGTTTGGGATGGATCCTCGGGGGAGTGGGTGGCGAAAGGTGGGTGGGGCTGGCTAGGCCGAACTCCTCTGCCACGCCCACTTCACTCCATTTAACTCCCACGCCCACTCTCTCTTCGGTTGCTGCATAAACAAGCATCCAATGTCGGAGCTAATTTTATTAAAAAGCATCGCCAGCAGCCAACAGCTAAGCCAAAAGGCAAGCAGCGCGAACGAGGAGCGCTTTTCCCAGCACAGTGGTTGTGCAACCAGTTTGGGTAACACATTTTCAAAATTTAATTTTGGGATTTAACTACTTTTCAGAAAGGGGAAACAGCATTACCCAAAACAACATTAGGGAAATACATCAAATAAAAATTCAAATTAATGCTTTGAACACTGTTAAAGGTATTTTTTTTTAATCGAAAAGGTTTTAAAACTGTCTACATTAAATTAAAGTATATCTTAAAGGTACATTTAATTTTATATTTATTTTCTTGGTTGCGAATATGCAAAAAAAACTTACTGCTATGCTACATGTTCTCAAGGTTGTGGGAAGAATTTAATAAAATAAAATTCGATTTAGTTGTAGTATCAACAACATTTGAAATTCGTATTCTGGAGTAAAATATCTTTTTTGGTGATCATTGATGATCGATGAGACTCGATTACTTATCATTATTATTAATCATTTCCATAAATCTGTTAACAAGATCGTTGTCATTAGCAAAGCAATCCGCGTAATCCCTAGCCGACGTGCGAGTGTCACAAATTAAAACCAAGAGCGCATTGAAGCCACAACTTTGACCTTGCACCTTGTCACTGATTTCGGGACTACAGAGCTTGGATATATCATGTCCCTCCAGGGCATCCAATATGTACTGGAAGTCCAGTCTTATGCTGTAGTCACTCGAGCAGAATTTCACCGTGGCCTCGAATCTCTCCTGCTCGAACTTTCCCCTCTCGGAAATCTCCTGGATGCAACTCAGTTTTCTAATGTGCTGCTTTATGTTGTCATGGGTATCGTTGCCGTTTAAGACAGGATAGTAGAACTGCTCCTGAAACTCGGGCGAATCGAAGATATCACATTTCGCGATGAATACGGTCAGGCCGAGAGCCGCAAAGATGAGGAGAAAGGCGGCCTTCATTGGCTCGGTTGCAAGTTGAACTAAAAGGGGCTGCAATTGATTGGAAATACCAGGGATTTCATGCTCCATCGGCTGCATCGAATGCGATTTTAGACCACTGTTTGCTGGCTTTTGAACCGCTGCTGCTGCTGCTGCTGCCTGCTGTTGTTATTCGGCCCAGTTGACTGCCGACCACCCGCTGTTTTGTAGTCCAGTGTACGAGTACCATACTGTTCTGGCCCCCAAACGAACCCACTGATGGAGTGGAGTGGAATGGAGTGGAGTGTAGCCGCAGTTGTAGTTCCCCACCCGCCGCCGCCGTCGACAGGACATAAAAATGCAGCTCTCGAGCATAAACAAACATAATGCGTGCCCATCCCCACTGGATTCCTCGTTCGCTTTCGCTCTCGCAAAAAAATTTATGCGAAACGAAGTTAGGCGAAGCGCTTAGCATATAGTACACAAGGCCTCCTTTTCGTCCTTGTTTCCCTCGATCCAGGACCCTCGCCATTTCCTTTTTTTCCACTCCGCCCTCCATTTTAATTAGATACATAAATTTGGTGGAGATTCTTGGGCAGGCTGAAAGGTAAACAGCTTTTACGAGAGGTTTTTTTTCGTATGCCGGAGTTAGTGACTTGTCATCGGTTGGCTAAGAGTGGCTTTAAGGGTTTCACCGATTCAAGCTGGAAACGATTGCCTGAATATATTCAGCGTTTCCTCGCCTCATGTTTACTACTGATTGAAAACTTTTGTTTATGCCAACTTTTCTATTTGCAGTTCAAACTTTTTTAAAACAACAAGGCAACTTTTATGTAAACAAAAAGTGGTAAATATCATGTGTTTAGCTTTTATCCATTTATAAAAACATACATTTAAAGCAATGTAATGCTATTTAGGTTCCCTAAAGAATGAACTACAGTATCATAATTTTCATAATTTAATAATGCTATTTGGGTTCTCTAAAGAATAACTACAGTTTCATAATTTTGGTTTTATATTTTAAAATCCTATTTCAATACACCACATTACAATTTATATGTTCTTAGTTTGGTTTCAATATAATTTTAGTACGTTTCAATTATAAAGACTCTTCTTAATTACCAGGAAATTTGTAAATTTAAGATTAATCCCTCGACCTTGTTAAAGCAAGTGTCAACCTTGGTCAACGGCCTAAATCGTCACCATTCTCGGGTTTATGGCTCATACAGGGACTCTCGAAATACAAACAGCAGCCGCTGGAGCACTTTAAAATTAATCGCACGATTTATGACGCACCATCTAACCGCTAATTTATATGGCTTAAACCCCAGCCGATTTTCCCTGAATGTGGCAACTGTACTCTACTGGCTGAGTGTGTGACTAGGATGTCGGTGTACTTCTGTGTGCCACAAAACACTTTGCGCATTTCAAATGAATATTCCGTCGCTCGTCGCTACGCTGATTTTCAAAATCGCTCGGATAGACAGGGAAAAAGGCACAGGATGTACAGGGATATATATTCCAATGGATGGGGGGTGGATTTCGGGGGGAAAATGGTGTTTTCTGTAAATGCCAGGCGACTCTGTATGCGTGGCTAGATTTTGATCGCGGTTTCAGCGTTTTGCGGCTCACTCGCTGGCAAATTCAATTTCAGCACCAAAGCCGCCGACGACGATGATGACGAAGCCGGCGACTTGGCCATTAATTCGGCTGCGTAGCAACCGCACAAATTTAATGTTCGAAAATAATTTAAATTCTAGCGGCCAAAAGCCGTGGCTTTCACCTTTTTAGGGGATTTTAATGGGGCAACATTTACATTATCCACTATTAAATTTTTGGAGCCGCAACGCAAAGCGATTTGTAATTAACAATTGTTACTCCATTGTGTTAGCCTAATCTGGCTAAGTGCTTTTACTTTTATTAATCGCATTCCGGTTTTCCGGAAATTTTTGATTTACTTTTATGTTTGCCTTTGCTGCTGCTTTCCACGTTCAACTCTTAAATAATTTGGCACGAAGTCTCATTATCGTTTGCCAAAAAGGGAGCCCATTTCCTCCTTCTCCTTCTCCTTTTTTTGGAAAAGCTACCCAGCAAGGAAAAGTTATAAATTGCTACATAGTTTTCTGGTGCGCCAAAGTTTACCCTCTCCCTCTCTCTCTTACTCTCGCTTTCTCCGCTTTCACCCTGCATGATGGTGTGTGTGTGTGTGCGTAACAAAATTAAATGTGCGCTAAGTAACGAGATATATATATGTGAGTGGGTGTATGTGTGTAGGTGGGAGGTGCGTGGGAGGTTCTGTCTAGTCTCAACATTTGGTTGGACAAATTAAAAGCACTCGGAGATTCCATTTTATGGCCCGGCACCAATGCTCTTGAAAAATTATGCATATGTTAGAAGTCAACAAGGAGGTCCATAAATTCACTAAAAAAGATGCTGGAGAAAGTCTGAAACTGAAAATATACGAGAATGTTTGTCTGCTTTTGTCTAGGAATGCCAGTAATGCATGAAATTGATTCCGTTTTGGTTGAATGGCCCTTTAATGTGTAACGTTATCCAGATGCTCAGGGGAGATAAATATTGAAGCTGATAGCTATAATTACAAGTATACTATCTGCAATTATGCCTAAAATATCTTCTCAATTTCTCATTGGTTTTGATTTTAATTGGTGAGTAAATATACAAAATTATTGCAGACCAACAGTAATTAAATAAAAGCGCAGTCCATTTTCAAAGATTATTAATTGTGTTATTTAGATTTTTTAAGGTGGCAAGTGGTTTTTAGTTAATTAGCTATTGGATAACAATTCGGATTATCCTATTAAAATTAATTAGAAAAAATTAATCTTTAATAATTATTTTTATTTTCTGTTCTTTTTTATTCTGCTCTAAAAATACAATATTAAAAAATGTATACTTATGGTATTTTAAGAGCATTAAACAAATCCAACTAATTTATTCAATCATTTGAATGGTCTAAAGTGTTATGGTTGATTATTGGAATTAGCACGTTCTAATCTGATTTGTATCAATTTAATTTCTAGTTTTTCCAGTTGGATGGTTTAGATTTCCCTTCAAGTTTTTCAACCTCCCCCTAAGATTTGTAAACAGCTTAAGCGGAAATCTGTTAAATGGACGTTCTTAGAAGCGAGATGCTCATAGCAATGCTGAGCAAACCCAATCACATCCAATTGAGCACAATTTGTGCCCCATTCATGTTCAGTTTCACATCATCATCATCATCAGGGCTCCCAGTTCCAGTCCCCTTTTGCCAGTCAGTCGGCAACTCATTAACGTTGGCCCACGCAGCTGCTTTTTGGCCGAGAGTGAAAGGAGAAACTGCCCGCCTATCGATAGAACAAAGGATTCCACCTGCAGCCGTTCACTTTTCCCCCGTTCACTTTTCTTTTTTAACTTAACCAGAACTAGAGATTATAATCTGGTACAAATGGGGAAATCCCGGCAAACCGGCAGATTAAATTTGTATTCCACTTGTACTCCAAAGCGGATGTGGCCATGTGTGCAAAATTGAGTTCCCTTCCCACAGAATTACAGCCTATGTCCTTCTGTTTCAGCTTTCTCTCCCCTTTTTCCTTTCACTTTTTTTTGTGGGAGAAGGGGATGGGCGTGGTCATAGTTAGGTCCTCGAAAAAGGGAATCTGATGCGGTGTTAGTTACTCTCCATAAGAGCCTTCCATTATTAATGAGAAGACAACGCAAATTAAACACACACGCGATGCAGAGAGTTGGGTAGTCGCTTTTGGGGCTCGTAAAGTTCGCATCAAAGATTCATTGATATTGTAGGTCTTTGAACAAGTTTCCCCTCCATCTCTCCCCTTTCTCACAAAAGTCGGAATTTGTCCGAGTAATTTACGGAAAATGCCTGACTCTTGGATGGTCTGCCTGCCTGGCTTTTCGACTTTCAGCCAGTTAGTTAGCCAGAGGCTCGGCAAATGTAATTTTGTGTAAAAATTTTCATGAATGGAATCGCTTTCAGCGCCCCCAGAAAATTGTGGCAATTGTGTGGCATATTTTTGGAGGTTACTCGAGTGAGTAGCTCAAAAAAAAAAAAAAAGGGGGAAACCAATCCGTTTCGAAAAGCGGAAACTGAGCCCTGGTAGGAAATTTCTGTGCGTCGTGTTCTTGCAACAAAGTGTGGACTTTTCCTTTGGCCGCAAGGCAAATCAATTTTGCAATGGCCTCCGACCACAGAAAACGGAAACGGAAGCGGGGAAAACAGGTAGTAAATTCACCTTTTGCGGCTGACAGCTTAACGCCTTCGTATCATATTTCATTTTCATTTCGGGTTTTCGATGGAAGAGGCAGGATCACTGGCAGTGCAATCTCACCAGTCATTTGTCTGCTCATCCAAATTACGAACAGATTCGGGTTGGCAAAAGTGCAGTTCGCCTTCGTTGTTGCGGCTTGATTAATGACGCTGCCACACAGCACTTTCAATTGCACTCTCTGCGGTGCATGCCACAAAATCTGAGATGAATTACCCGCTGGCACGGCGGTTGGTGGTTCGTCACTCGTCCTCGTTCCCCACTCAAAGTATCGAAATGTTAGGCTGACAGTAACATATCTTATCCATATTTATTGGCAGCAACCAGCTTTCCGCGCTCCGGAGAAAACAAAATCCCGACTTGGCTCTAAAATTGCATTAATATTCCGCATATATTTGCCACCTCCGCTCGTTGAAACTTCATTTGAATTACGATTTCCCCATTGGCATTTGCAACTGCGGCACCTTGTAGCGCTGCAACTGCGCTGAAATTGCATATATTTTCTATAAATTATATTGCACAGCAGTGCCAACACACAAACTGGGCTAAGAAAATGTTTCGACAAAGTTTGCATTCTCGTCCATAAATTTAAGGCCCACTTTCCCCCTTTTCCTGCCGCCTTTCTGGCTAAATGAAATTGCACAGATTTGCACACAGGCCTCGCAAAGGTTTGCTCACTTTAATATTTATGAAAACAAAAGGCGTGTCACCTACGCCCCCTGTGTATACACACCTTCTATGTGTGAGTATCCGTGTGTG